TCAAAAATAAAGTCATTGCGATGACAGTCATAAGTCCTAGAATATTCATCTTAAATCAATCGAATAAAATGAAATAGTTTTATAAATAGATAATCTTGGGCCTGATCGAAGCCTTTTGTTTTTTTCCCAAAAATTAATTAAAATGGCAGCGTCAGGATTTTTTTTTTTAGATTTTTAGTAAAAATTAAACAGTTAATTGGTCTTTTTAAATTTTTGAAAAACAAAAAATCCTTCTTATCAGGTCCGAGTCTATTATGTATTCTAGAAGCTTTATAAATTTCATTAAAATCTACTGAGCGGTATTCGAGTTACAGTTGTCACCAGTTCAAAAAACATATTTTTGAGAAAAACACATTTAAAGTTTCTCACTAGATTTCCGTATAGAAACACGAATTATCAAATTGCTTAAACCGAGTCATCTATTTCTGGGCTATATAATAGTTCTTCATTTATTGTGAAAGTTTCCAAAAAGTCCATTTGCTGTTGCCTAAGAAGCTTTCTGTTTCCCGAGTGCTCTCATTGGCGCGCTGATCTGTTACTTTCACACGTGCAGCATTAAATTTTTTACCATACCGATATGCATTAGACCCACAATTAAGTTTTAGGGTTCATTAATAATGATTATGTATATGTATGATAGTAGAACTAGTGTTCACGGTTTTGTGCATATTTTCCACACTAGGTGGTTGAAGCTCTTGACTCTCATTATTATTCTGATTTAGTCCATCCACACATCTTGCAAGTAAATTACAATTGCTGAGATCGCCGTAAATCAGTTGAATTGTTTTTAAAACATCATGAGGTATGGAAGAATAATCTTGAGTATAAATATCAAGCTCTCTATTTGCTTCAGCGCGCTGGTAAAAGTAAAATAACTCAAAAAGTAATTATCGGATCAACTTGAAATTTTCATAGAATATTTTTAAGATATTACACTTAACGAAAATGCAAAAAAACAAAAATTAATTTTTTACAAATTCTGAGTACCCCTAACCCCTTAAGACCACCACGAACTCCTCATATCACCAAGAATCGTTATAATCATCGAGAATTCTTTTTAATGATCAATTACGAAGAAACGGCCTGCCCGATCTTTGTTCAAAACTAACCAGCGCGATTCTCAAGTAATATTTCTCGAATAGTTTTTGAATTTACAAAATCGATCCAGGATTCTGAGCAAAGTTTGTGGGTAAAAGCAAAGCAAAGATTGTAAAAGGTAAAATGCAAGTACAGAAAAATTTACAACATTGCGGTTTTATCTACAGATGTCTGCCCCACATCTGCTTCAACCAAATTGCATCTAAATAATATCGAAGAATGGATCAAAAGATGGCGCATTAAGATAAATGAGATCAAATCCCTCCATATTTCATTTTCACTCAACAAACTCACATGCCCGAAAGTCAATTTCAGCGCACATATAATTACCACAAAACTAGTGTAGTGGAAATTCACTTGGACCAAAAATTAATTTGGAAAGCTCGCATTTTAGCTAAAATCTATAATGATTTGTTTAGATTATGTTCTCACTGTAGCTCATAGAATTACTTACTTTATTCTGATTGTTACATGCTAATTTAATAAAAAAAACGTACAGGAAAATTCTACGGACATTCCGCGGCTTATGATTTGGGCTGGCAACATGGGTTTTCTCCTTATTTGGCATCTCGGGTGGAAGAATTTGAAGAGAGTTGGCGGTCCTCATATTATGCACACTCGATGCCCCATGGCGCCCGGTCTATTCGGGAAATTAAAATGTGTTGGGGTTGGATGATTCTCGATAAAATTAAATCGCTCACATTCAATTGTTACATTTTAACATTCATTGATTGAAAGCGGCATGAAAAATTATTCGGTTATTAATATGACTATTACGAAATAGGGTTTTGATGTAGAAGGGTAAAAATTTAAGGCTGTGCATGTTTTATTAATTATGAATCACAAAAAAAAAAACAAAAGAAATTGGTCGAAAAATGAAAACAAATTTTAAGGGTTGCCAACCACTTAGAGGTATGAAAAATTGATGCTGTCCGATTGTTGTCAGTTATATTAAACGTGACTACAAAATTTCATAAGTCGGTCAAACCGTTTCGGAGGATTATTAGGTCGAACAACATGACACGAAAATTTCATGTACAAATAGATAAGGAAGAAGTTCGTGGTGTTTTTGCCGATAGACGGTTAGTTGGAAACATCTCAGGAAATACAAATCGCAGCGACATCACTAGAAATTCATTGTATAGGTGACATTTCCAGCTTTAATTGATATCAAAAACATTGTTGAAATGTTTGGATGTTGTTTTTACTGCAAAATGGAGAAAATAATGAGTAGAGCGAAAACAATAAATAAATAAATAAATAAAATAGTCATTTCTGAAACATGTCATAACCGAAAAATAGATCACATACGACAATCGAAGGAGAAAAAGATCATGATTAAGTGATGGTGGGCAATTGCAAGCGCTCATAGAGCCGCACAAAAATGTGATGCTTTGTGTATGTTGGGACTGGAAGGAAATCGTCCATCACGAGCTACTTCCATTTGGTCAGACGATTGATTCTCAACTCTACTGTAAACAATTAGAGAGATTACGCAAGCCAATGTGAAGAAAACGGCCCAAATTGAAGGTATTGTCTTCTATCATGACAATTCCCGATCATACACTTCTTTGATTACGCCAATAATTACGAAAGCTTGGTTGGAAAGTTTTGATGCATCCACCGTATAGTCCAGGCATAGCACCTTTTGGCTAACACATCTTTCGATATCTGCAGAACTCTCTCAAAGGAATGAAAAGCACTTGGTTCAGTTTTTCAACCACAAACCACAGAAGTTCTACGCCGATATGGACAGATTAGAATGCAATAGATTAAACTTAAAATTTAAAATGGTCAATTTGCAAATATGCGTTCATCGATGTGACAAAAAACGCTTATAATTTTTGTATATTGTTACGAGCACTTTCAATTTTTTTCTGTTAAAATTTGGTTTATACTAATTGCGTAAGGATGTCCGTAATGGTAACATATCCGATCCGCTATTGAGATTGAATTTATGCCTGATGCCAAGCAGTAGTAATATCAGTTTTCATTTGGAAATATGTTTCCACGTGAAAATAGAATTTACACGGCATTGCTACATCAATAGAAATTCATCACTATTACAGAAATAAATAATATTATTACAGAATAAATATAGAATAGAGAACTGTTTGTTTTTCTATTTATTGTAAACCGACGTTGTTAGTTATGTTATCATTACAACCAACATAGAACCCTTAAATTCTGGCCGCTATTCAATATAAAAAAAACTAGTAATACAGAGTAAAAATTTTATTAGCACATAAGAAAATTTTTTGTTTATGGTTTTATATAAGATGCAATGTAGTAAAACGAGCGGAATATTCATTTTTACGGACCATATAGTAGGTGAAACTGGGTACGGTTGTGACAGGTTACCGGTAGTGACATATCGTCATAACACCTAAACTATTCTGATTTTGAGATAGGGTCCAAAGTGAGAAAGACGAAGTATGATTGTTCGAACAAGTTTTTATTATTGCATCGAGTTAGCCCTACATTAACATGATCTATAGACTGAATTGTTTTTAAATAGCCAAAAGAAATTTTTTTCGCTCGATTTCTTTTAATACTAATCCTTGTATGCAAATCGTTATTATAAATTATTTTGGTGTTTATATAGCTTTTGTTTTTTAACCTATTTTTAAGCCTGTCACAGCTATCCCTCGGGTGTGGACGGTATCCGCCTGAATAAAATATAATTAGGTCAAAATAATAGCACTTGTTACTCTTTAGTAATAAGAAAAATATGAAAATTTCGTTTCTGTTCACTTTCTTTTTGATAATGAATGCATTTTCCATCAATAAATGGTTTTAAATTCCATCGATATTTTATGTATGTGTTCATCTATTTGTTTAACATTTTAATGCATCGTTACAAGCTATTTGTGTAATCATCATTCAAAGATATTGTGCGCGAATGAAATCTTTAGTAAATCGCAACTAATAAATAGTGGTTTTACGAATTTTCTTACAAATCCGAATTATAATTAAAAATATAATTACAGTATTCACGGATTTCCAATCAAAAGCTATCCTGTCTTCTTGAAATGTAGAATGCGGGTCATAAGTCATAATGTTTGAATTTCAATTGTGAACGATACTTAATATTAATAAAAATTCTTTTTATATCGTAATGCAATTTTGCATAAATCTAATTATATATCTAGTTGTACCGATTATTTGAGTCATCATATTTTTATAAACGTAAATGAAAAAATGTTGATACAATAGATTATGTCGTGCCATTTGACCTCTAAATCGTATCGTGCCAACAATATATTATGAAAGAGAAAAAAATTGGCAGATTTGCGCGTTGTTAGATCATTTGCCAAAAATATGGGCAGCTTTCATTCGTCAAATGATTCATTTTTTTTTTAATTTTTTTATTTTTTTTTTAATTTACTTATAAATTACAATCATCTGTCTATAGATAGACATCGAGTAATTAACAGTGGTATATTTTCTAGAAGGAGAGCACCCAATGGTTTGTCTTGAATTTTTGTACTACATTCTAATCTAAATTTTATCTTTATTTTATATTTATTTTACAAGAATTAACAAACCATAATATACACATAAATTATAAATACAAGAACGTTTCACATATATGTATATAAATTCAATATTTGATATGAATAAATTATTTTCAAATTAAACATATTTTATACATGTCTGTCTCCTTTAATGGAATGAAACTTACTGGCTTCGGATTTAACCGTTTTTAACAGATTTTAAAATGACAAAAAACTGATATTACGTATTAAATGTATCATCATACATTTTTTTTTCAAATTGAACTTATTTATTAGTGTCCCAAAATATATCGAATTCATTACTATAAGTCACGCGCCATTAATTTAATTTTGATTTCTCGTAAATAATTCAATATTTTAATTTTATTTATTTTGACATTTCAGGTGAGGAGATTACGTGGACGTCGTATGATGATCACTATGATGTGCACATGAGCGTATGTATTTTTTATTGTATTATTTAAGTTCTATTTTTAAAATCCATTGTTTATAAAATAAGTTTGCATTGCATCAATTTAAAAATAAATTTTCACACATACATTTCGGAAAATTAACGATTTCTTTCTTTATCTATATGTATATGATTTAAATTTAGTAAACATATGGTGGTGGTGGTGGTGGTAATTATGATTGCGACATATGTTATATAACGAGAAGCTTTAATGATAAATTTTACTGATGACATAAAAATATATGTCGAAACCTTTTAAACATTAAAGATTCAAACAAAAAGTTGTGCATATTTATATGAATATATATTATATTATATGTATAAATGGATTTATACGTTTGTGTGCAGATGCAGTATAGGTTCCTCATCAATGCTTTTCGTTATTTTTGGCGTAAAATTCAGATACATACTTATCTACTGCTTCCAAAGGTATTGGATCTTTTACTATATTTTGTATTTGTTCGTCTATTCATAGATTTTTTGCCTTCCTGTTACAAAAGGAAGTGATATTGGTACTTACATGGAATATGAGTTAATTCCAGGTTGTATTGAAGTAAGAAGAACATTCACAAAAAATGTTAGTAACTCTTATCGATATATTTTTATAATATTTATGGATGGCTCACTCATTATGGTGTCTATACGTCCCGATTTGGCCGGAACAGTCCCGGATATTCACCTCGTGTCCCGGGTTTTTCTTAAAGCAATATTTGTCCCGATTTCGATCTTTTATTCTAATAATTAACATGTGATTGGATGTTGCACCTATGTCCACGAAGGACGATTTCCACTTGGAATTATATTGTGATCTATAACCCCAAGTGGAAATTTGACATCAAAGCTGCCTGATGTCGGGGTACGGCGGTAGCGGGAATCGAACCAGCGAACTTGGGACTAGTTGCGGCTACCTCACGCTCTAACCGATTTCGCCACTGCTGGCCCGAAAAGTATAAATTTGAATTGAATTTTTGCAATTATATACTTGATAATAAAATAACTATTCATCAAATGACTGATAATGTTACGAGTATGCTTATGTGAAACCATACGTTATGAATGAGAAAATTTCCGAATGCAACACTCCAAACGTGGTCTAAAATAGCCGAACTTTTCATATTCTATTTTACGAAAGTGACCAAAAATTATAAGGGCGGCGGCTTTTTGAATTGCCTTGCACAAACGCTAATTTCGACTAAGTAAGTTAATTATGAAGAACAAAATTTTATAGTTTATAGTTTATAGTTTATAGTTTGGTGAAAAGTCTCAGACATAAAGAAATTTCACCTCTAAACGCTTTATTGTACGTTACATAATCATGAACATTACCACTCAACTTCTGAGTGACTTTGAACATGGGTAACGCGTATTTAAGCTAAAATATGAAAAAACAAAACAAAAAATTAAATATATATATATATACTAGCTGACCCGACAGACGTTGTTCTGTACCTACGTCAACAATTTTTCAATATTTTATACTAATATTTACTGCTTAGTTAAAAATAATAATTACTGTTTTTTGAATTACTATTTACACCAATATATAAGTGATGTTGAATGTAGAACTGTTTCAAATAAAATGATTGTTCTCAATTCCCACAGTTAACACTTTATTTATTTAACAAATATTAAAAAATGTTCAATAAAATTGTATATTAAAAATTATACACTGCGATTTATAGAACAAATTTATTTCCAATAGCTCAATTTATTTTATTGCATTTAAGGGTTATATAGTATTTTTAGCCATACCTGTAGATGTGGATGTATAAATGAATGATTTTTTGTTTATTCACGACTAAAACATTGATTTTCCAAATTTATCACACTAAAAATGATCGTCTGCCTTTTTGATTTATGGTCATAGCATAAGATACTCATGTTGAAAATTGAAATCTTTTAAAAAGTACAACAAATTCAGAAAGAATTAATATATAGCATTCGCGGCAAAGGTGCAATATCACCTTTTATTTTTCTCACCCAAAATAATTGCTTCAATAATGTTGCCTATAATTTTTATAATTTTGTACCATATTTTAACTGGCTTTAAGTAATTTTAATATCTAAATTGCATTTTTTTCTCTAATAAATCAATATACATTATTGCTTAAGTTTATATTTGAAGTGAATTAATTTGTCAAATCCTGTTCACATGTGCTCTATTCAACTTACGATCAACAAAATTATTGCTCTGTAATTTTTTTTACTGTGCTCCAATTTACTTGATATTTTGGAAATAGGCTAATCTTTATCTTAATTTCTGATTTTATCAGAACTTGTAATACACTATTTTAAAGGTGATTAAATGAGCTACAACTTTCTCTATCATTAATTTTACCGTAACTTCTCTTATTGTAAAACGGCGAAGGGTTAAAGGGCTCGAAAGACCTCTGGTTGGACAGCTCCTTAATTAATCATACATCTATCAATATTTGTGTAACGAAAAAATAATAAACAATAATAATTAGTCAGAAAAATACCTCGAATTTTCTTATATATATACTTTTATACGTATTCTTTCAGAGGTATTATGATGAGAAATTGGTTGTTTTTTTTAAAATGTTTTTTTTTTTTTCATGAAATCATGAGTTTTTTAAGAATCATTTGTACTAAAGTTGTGGTATTTTCTAGAATCCATCAAGATCTCTTAAACCAAGTTAATTCTAGATTGAATACGATTATTTTTAATTTTGGTGGATATGGCACTCAAAGTATTTGATTTAAATGAAAAAAAAAAACATTGCATGCGTCCTTTATCTGCATGATAGCTCACTCATTTTACACGCAGAAGTACTCATTTTAAAGCTTATTTTGAGCACTATAAAAACCCATTTTCATATCTAGCCTAATAATGTTCCTAAAACACTATAAAATAACGATTTATTAAGATTTTAATTGATATAATTCTGTTCATTACATGATTTTCGTTAAAATGTATATTTTTGAAGGTGTTAGCAACAAATGATGAAAAACGCAAAAAAGAAACAAATATTCAGTAGCCAGTAACTTGAAAAGTATTTCCTTTTTTGAAAAACATTATTAAATATTTTTCTCGTATAATTAGTTCTTTTATCGATACCCAACGTTATTTTGAAAAAAGTAAAATTACACCACTGAAAAGAAATGTCATCCACCCGAGAAGTGGTAAAGGAGTCTAAATTGTTTTCACTTCTGAAGAGTAAGATGAACCTAGTTCCAAAATTCCAAACGAATTGGAAAATAGTAAAAATTTCAGACCCAAAGCGCTCCATTGAGTAAATATTCCGTACCCAATGACAAACATATGAATTTTTGACACAATGAAACTTCTAAATAATTTTTTTTGTATTGTGACTTAGTATAGTAAGGCAAAACGACTGCAAATTGAATATGTTTGAGCGCAATCACTTATGGCTCGCTCCTTTGCGCGAATTCGTACGGCGAATCTGTTCGCAAAGTGCGCAAACAAAATTATTGCAAGCAAAAGCAAACCACGCGCACGTCAGACGCATGCGCAGACTGCATCACTTGTCAAATGCATGTTATATTATTTGCATCTTATATTAATTTAATTTTTGGCACATCTCAGCTGCTTTTCGGCATTAATAATGTAGACATTACATTTTCTTTATTCATAATTATGAATTTATTATATTCTAATATTGCCTTAGCCTATAAGTGAATAGAAATGTTTTTAATTGACAGTCCTCAATTGTTTTTAATGTCAAACTAAGCTTCAAATATTTTCAAGGGCAAACAATGATAAGCGGTTTTTTGTAATTTTTTCTATTTATTTCTACAATTTAACTATATTTCTATGAATCAAAACATTCTAAAAAATTTCCCGAACAAACTTCAGGAAGATTCATGAAAATCCGAATTATAGTTTAGGAGGAAATATGAAACTTACATTGTTACAGAAGAATTTTATATATAAGATATATATATATATATATATATATATATCGGAGATCATGAAACCGCAAGTGACGCGATCCGAGTTCATCCCAAGTCTGGAATGAAAAGAAATACAAGGCTTAACAGCGAAAAAAACGTATGATTTCTACAAAAACTCGGTAATTCTGTATAAAAAATTGATCAATTTAAAAAAAAGTTTTCTACAGTCTTCCACCTTCCCCTTCGTTCCGGATTATCATAACAAGTTGCCGTCCTGGTTCTGGTCTAAAAAAATATACCTTAAGGTTAACTATTATTAATGACGATAATAAAATAAACTGATTTGAAATCACAGAACATAACACAGTTGAATGTTGGAAGATGAGAAGTGAAACTGTTACTTTTTGTGGTCAGTCGCATTCAACCCCGGTCTTTCGTTTGGCAATTTCATTTCATTATGTTAGTATTCGGTCTCCACGAGCAGTTGGGGACAAGTTTGAATTATGAATTCAGAGACTAGACTATTCCTATGGTATTAGTCTCCGTGTACACGGCGGTGTCGGCGGTGTGTGTGTGGCGGTATAGTTCGATAACAACATAGTTGGAGCGGAGTTCCGGAATTACATAATTAACGTTGTACCAAAGTTATCGCTAGTAGTTTGTTGTCTCCTACTCCCGGCTGCGGAGGAGTTAGTTTGGAGTTGGGTGTGGACTCTCCGGTAGCGAGACTTTCTCGCTTGCTCACTCGTGCTAATAGTAAAAGCGATGCATTATTGTTAGTCATATGTAGATAAGTAGATAACGTTCAGTTCATCAAATTATCAATTTTATAGAATACCAAACATTACTCTTTTTCTTTCGTTTGAAACTGCACTGTTACACTTACTTATGATTAAGTTCTTAAGGATTCGAACTCAAATTAAATAGCCTTAACACTCTATGAGCCGAATTTTTATTTTAAATAAAAAATGAAACAATAAATCAGTATTTATGCATATAGAAATATAAGCCTATATATAGAAATGAAATAGAGAAAAAGTTTCAACAATGTTCTTGTATTATATCAACTATGTGACCCTGAGGACACAGCGACCTATAATGCTCACTTCT